CAAAAAGGTCGTTTTAGCTGTTTTCAGTTAAAATCAAGCCAAAATTTAATTTTTTTTTTTTGAAAATAATTTTTTAAAGTAACAAAAAGAACGTGTTTTCAGCAATCTTAAAATGGACACTCAAAACACAAAATTCAAAATGAATTTAAAACTAAAAACTGAAACACGAAAAGAACAATCCCAAACTTTTTCGGTTGGAAGTTGATATGTGATAGTACTTGGAACATATTTCATCCCTTTGGCTTCTTTTCTCTTCCAATTGATGCCTAATACTCTCAAATTTTCATCGTGATATTCAACGTAACTTTTGAGTATTTATATTTCAGTTTCCAAACTTTTTATTTGATATAATTGAGTCTTTTTTTCGATATCTCTGCATTATTTTCTCTAATTCTTCATCAAATATTGAGTTTTACTTATAAAATGAAATATAACACAAGTTATGTAGTATTTTATCTAAAGAACAGTAAAATATCATTATTTAGGACCTCGAATAAATATAAAAACTACACTTATCACTAGTCCTTTAATTTTAATTACCAAATTCTAACAACAATCAATCATGTGTAACTGGTTGAATTTTTCTAAATTAATTGATTTACTCCTCCCGAGTTCAAACTAATTCTACTCAATTAAATCAATTCATTGTATCTCTATATGAATCAGGATATGTTGTAATTAAGAGCATTCAATCACCAAAAAATTCAAATAAGGACCGCAAATATAGTACAAGTGTATTTCTATCTTCTACCAAAATCCTGATTTTTACTGTATGGTCTAAACAAATAACTAACATTTCAACTCGTTACCATTCACAAATCAATGAGTTAGTAATCAAGTAATTCAAAATCATGAAGAATGAAAATAAAAAATAATACAAAAATATCAATTGAAGACCAAAACATCATAATTAAATTAAAGTTCAAAATTAGGTTACAACTATTCATTCCAATTTAATCATTTAGTTTCACAGCATGGGAGAAGGATAATACAAGAAAGAATTGCGGCAATCATAGGGTTTGAAGGAAAATCGAGAAAAAAATAATAAATTTTCACCAAGAATTGCTTTCTTCCACACCACACCAAATCTAGGAAATCCTAATTTCTTGATTTTTCTATTTAAAAATGTATCTCGAAGTCCTTATCTCAACCATATTTTGATCTAGAAGATGTCTTTTTATAATAATAGTAGAAGTGTCTTCAGAGTTACTCGAAAAACCAGCCAAAATCCCTTAAAAATATTAAGAAAAAACCATGGTAAATCCTAAACTTTCTAGATCATTTTAATTTGGTAACTACTTAATGATTTTTGTTCGATTTTTTTTCATCCTAATCTTCAATATTGATCCCATATCTTCAGAAAGCATCCATGTTGATCCCCAAATCTTCATAATTATTTGAAATTGGTCTTTCTCAAGTTCAGAAATGTACAATTCAGTCTTCAAACTTTTCAAAAGTCGAATTTCATTCTCAAAACTTAAAAGACTTCTTTCGATTGCTCTCTAAATACTTCTTATAAATTTCATGCAATTTGGTTAATCTTCAAATGTTGTAAATCAACTCCAATTTTGCTCATATCCAATTTCTTGCTCCAAGTGCCTCCAAGTCCAGATTTTAAATATAACAGCAATATTTAAATTAAATTAAGTAAAAATCTACTCAAGTTTACAAATATAATTCAAGTTTAATAGGACAAATAAACAGTAAAATATACTTATCAATTACTTATTTTCAACAAAAAAGAACCGACTTATTTATTTCACGAGAAGCATCTGTTATGGTTCCAACCACAGACACCACTCTACAACCTAAGCCAATCTGATTAATGCCAGTCAATATCTCAATAATTGTCTTCGTCGGTTTGCATTTTATCAAATTAAATCTAGACACTACACACGAAGAGGGTCACAGCTAATTAAGCCAACCAAAGGCTAAAAACCAAAAGCGATGGCGACTCATCAGAAAGTGAAAGCTGACTGTGCAAGACAAATAACCATTATATTCATTATTTCACTGTAAACTTATCGTACCAGACAGGAAAAAAGGAAGAAAATTTGAAATCTTGAAATGACCATTCTTCAACTTGTACAAAGTAGTGGTGTCCTCATGTGGGAGATAAGAAATCTGAATGCCCACAAAAACAGATGGAGAATAAAGGGTTGTATTAAGCTGGAATCTTTCTTTATAATTTTACTTTTCTTTTTATAGTTCAGTCCATGTCCATTAAAGCTTCAAAGCACTCTATAATTGCAAATAATGCACTAAAAAGCTTGAAGATAGAAAGAGAAAATGGAAGCAAAATTCTGTCGGTTAAACCTTAAAGTGTAGTTTGGCACTGAATTTCATAAAACCCATGTCACTAACTTGTCTTTCTCTGTGCATTATAAATTTTTCACATGTTAAATTGTAACTGATACATCCTGGGAAAGCCCACAAATCAGATTTTCGAGTGGAAAAGTTTAAGGTTTGAAACGAATAGGATTTTAGATTTGCAGGAGGAAAATGCATGCAGAGAATCTTGAAATAGGTATGAAGCCCTGAATTGAAGTTTAAGGTTGCTTCGTTTGAAGGTAATTTAGTAGTTGGTGAAGTCAATCAAGACTTCGTTTGAAGATTTGTGTTTGTGATTACTTCATTTGAGGTTAATACAGTTTTTAACTTTTCTAATCTTTCGCTTTTGATTTTCTTAAGGTAATTCATCAGATATTTGTTCAGAATATTTTCTTGGAGGATTAGACTTGGATAAAGGTATGTTGATTTGCTGAATTTCATCTGTTCTTAGGATCCTCAATTTTAGTGATTTTCTTACAGAAAATGTATTTTCACAAATTATTTCTTAATTATCTTCCTTTTTCAACTTAATTTGTTCTGAATTTACGATAAATGCAGGCTTTCACTGGAGAATATTCAAGTTCTTATTCAGAATTCCCGTACTTTTCAAATTTATTGATCAATAAGTTCTATACCTCTGTAGTCTCTTGCTGATGGCAGAAAAAGTCAGCCATATAACATTTCTAGTTTTGCTTGTCCTTTTAATATTAGTCACCTATACAGAGCAGCTTCAATCATCACAAATACAAACCCTTTTGAGAATTCAACAACTTCTAAACGATCCACCCTTTTTGAATAGTTGGAATAATGTCACAGATTTTTGCAACATGGAACCAAGGTCGAGTCTGACCATCGTTTGCTACGAAGGTAGCATAACTCAGTTGCACATTATAGGAGACGAGGGGGCTCCTCGATTACCTCAGAGTTTCTCCATTGATTCCTTTGTTACTACACTTGTTAGGCTTCCAAGTTTGACAGTCCTTAGATTGGTATCTCTTGGTTTATGGGGGCCGTTGCCTACTAAACTTACACGGTTATCATCGCTAGAAATACTAAACTTGACTTCGAATTTTTTCGATGGAACCATACCGCCTCAAATTTCTTCATTGACACGCCTTCAGACCCTAATACTCGATGGGAATAACTTTACCGGTGGACTTCCAAATGGCCTGGATTCACTTTCAGCTTTGGCTGTGTTGAGTGTGAAGAACAATTCTTTGCACGGATCTCTGTCCGAGTCACTGGGAAGTTTGGAAAACCTCAGGGTCCTTGCATTGTCGAATAACAAATTCTCCGGTGAGGTACCTGATCTTAGCAGTTTGGAAAACCTTCAAATTCTTGATTTGGAGAATAATGCTCTAGGCCCTCAATTCCCTGCAATTAGTAATAAGATCGAAAGAATTGTGTTAGGGAAAAACAAATTCACATTTGGCATTCCAGAGAAAGTTCAATCCTATAATCAACTCAAGCACTTAGACATATCGTCCAACCGATTTGTGGGACCATTTCCAGTTTCCTTGCTGTCCCTACCGTCGATTTCTTACATAAATATTGCAGATAATAAATTCACGGGCATGCTTTTCAAAGATCTTCCTTGTAATCCCGGTCTCGATTTTGTGAACTTGACTTCGAATCTGTTGTCTGGAAAATTGCCGAGTTGTTTAGTTCCAGGTTCCGAACATATGGTTGTGTCATATTCTGGGAATTGTTTGGTAACAGGAGATAAAAATCAGCATCCAGTTTCGTTCTGTAAGAATGAGGCTCTAGCTGTGGGAATCTTACCTCATCACGACAAGCGAAAACAAGTTTCCAAAACAGCTCTTGCTTTAAGCATAACCGGAGGAATTATAGGTGCAATTACACTAGTTGGTATTGCCCTTTTAGTAGTCAGAAATTTTATTGCACAGAGAGCTGAAAAAAAACCCCCAACAAGATATATAGAAGAGAATGCGTCGACTAGCTACACCTCAAAGTTTCTTCGAGATGCAAGTAAGCTTTTGATTTTGAAATTATCCATTTGTTTCCTTTACACTTCTTTAAGATTGGAACACCTGATCCCTCGTCCTAGGGTATATAACCCGAGCAACTAAGCTAGGAGCACTTGGCCTTCCTGCTTACCGGACGTTTTCACTAGAAGAGCTCGAGGAGGCAACAAACAACTTTGACACATTGACATTCATTGGTGAAGGATCTCATGATCAGGTATGGCAATAGTTTTACACGAGTGTCAAGCTAATTAGATCACTACGTAGCAAAAAGTATGCTAATCAATCTCGAACTTCTTTCATTTTCTTGATAAGCTATTCAGAATAATTTGAAAAGTACATGTAACTTTTATCTGTTCGTGTTCATCAAGTCCAACATTTATACATCACACTATGACATGCTGGTAAAAAGGCGCTTACTAGTTACCTCTTTTATCGACTCAGATGTACAGAGGTCAGCTGAAGGATGGCTCCTTCGTCACAATTAGATGCCTGAAAATGAAAAGTAACCACGGCACTCAACACTTTATGCCTCACATAGAATTAATGTCAAAACTCAGACATCACCATTTGGTCAGCTCTCTCGGACACTGCTTTGAGTATTACTTGGATGATTCAAGTGTTAGCAGAGTATTTCTCGTCTTCGAGTACGTGCCCAATGGGACTCTCAGGAGCTGGATATCTGGTAAATCCATAGATTTACACATCTTTGTTGAATTTATTACTATCATATGCCAAGATTAATGATAAATGGTTTTGTATCTAACAGTTTGCAATCGTTCACTGTCTTATTTGGCAGAGAAACACGTTAGGCGAAAACTTACCTGGGCACAGCGCATTGCAGCTGCCATCGGGGTAGCAAAGGGTATCCAATTCCTGCATACGGGAATTGTACCGGGTCTCTTTTCGAATAATTTCAAAATAACAGATATTTTATTGGATCAGAACCTTGCTGCAAAAATTAGCAGCTACAACCTGCCTTTGCTAGCAGATTATATGAGAAAAGTATGAAGAAAGAACTTGAACTTCTCCCTGTTTTATTTTTAATATATTTTCTTTAACAATCTTATTCAATGATAAAATCTGCTCAACCTCACAGGATCAACTCCAAAATTTTCTCAGTGGATCAAACGATTTTAAGAGTGCCAGGTTAGTTCTTGTTTTCATTGATTAGCATTCGAACTGGAAATTGTTAGGTCTTAAGCTATTGAAGATAGCAATGCTTTGTATTTTACTAAAAATTAGAGATTGTTGATTTGCAGAGTAAAACATCAGGACAAGTTCGACATTTATGACTTTGGTGTAATACTGCTAGAAATCATTTCAGGGAAGCCAATAAATTCGAGGAAAGAAGTTGAGGTTGTAAAAGATCAGGTAAGAAATTGTCTTCGCGGGTATATCTGTCCTAATATATTTGAGATAATGATGATTTTCACAGTATTTTGATACTGTTTTCAGTTACTCGCCAGCATAAAAGCCGATGATGCATCAAGAAAAAGTGTCGTTGATCCAGTGATCAACAGCTCGTGCTCGAACGAATCATTAAAAACGATGATGGAGATATGCTATAGGTGTTTGCACAAGGATCCAGTTGATAGACCTTCTATTGAAGATGTACTGTGGAATTTGCAATTTGCCAGCCAGGTCCAGGATGCATCAAGAGCAGACTCCCAGAGCAGTGATGGCTCTCCAATTTCACCTATGCAATCATCGCGATTAAAGCTCACTATCAAGCAGTAGATGAAGTTTTATCGCATGCCCTTTTGTTTGGATTACACCCCGAACGCGGATCAACACCACTCTCAGGCGTTTCTTTCTTACATTTCAAGATCAAGACAAAGAATTAAATTCCTGAAAACTTGTCGATATTTCCAGTTCTTGAGAAAAGACGAAATTTTAGCATAGATTCAAAGTCGGTGTACACAACAATGAAGAATGTTATATGCTGTCATGTCATGTACTCTGTGACATAACAATAGGCGAGTTTAATGTTTAAGACCGTGCAAGTGTTTTCGTGTTACTTCTACAACAGGCATATCGATTGAAAACACATCATTTTCGACCTAATTTTCCCCTTCTTTCTTAATAACCTACGAGTCAATTACTGTTATCAATCGAACTCCATATTCGTGAACATTGAAAGAACATAACAGAGAAAATATGGCATAAAAATCACCAATAACTTGAGTTAATTTTCTTTTCTTCTCAGCAACTAAACAACCCCCAAAGGAAATGTTAATCTATCTGCGTTTCGATGCTACTATAAATCCTGGCTTCCAGTTAACCGACCCTAAACAAGCGTAGTGCCTTCTGCAAGCTCATCGAATACAAGTTCAGGCACTTCGTGCAATACAGCAGCATTAATGCAATAATGTCACCACCTAAATCACAGTCGAACATTGGGTTCGGCAGAAAGTGCAACCAGAATTTCTGTTTGACATAGGATGACTAGCACCTCATGTTGCCATAAACCAAAATGGGTCATCCTATGTGTACATGTACACATAGGGATTGACATAATGTGAGTGGAGGTGGGCCCGCACTACTAGCTACAGTAGCGTCGGGCCCCACCCTCACTTACATTATGTCATCCTCTATGAATTACATAGATTAATCCAACCAAAATATTGATACCATCAAATATTTCACCAAAATCTTGCATTAGTCATCATCGAGTCTATCAGCGAAGAATACACTCCTGCCCTCTTTCAACAACTACTATGCCCAGGGCAATACAATCTGAACACGTTGGCAAAACCTTGCACAAACATGAACCTAGAAGATAAGCCCTCGATAGTATATTGCCTGTTTACCTGACCTGAAAGGAAGATGACTGGTTGGACACCCCAGTAAACAGGTCCTGAGTGGAGCCAAGAGTGGGTTCAACAATGATGTGCACACAATCCCTGAACGACCATGAAGTTGGTGAGAAGGATGAGGTAGTAGATGGTCATGGCAGAGGGAGAGTGAAGTAAGGCAGCTTCAGCCACAGGCGAGGAGCATGAAGGAGCATGATTTCCTAAAGTGAAATTTCCCGCCATTAACTGCTACGACCTATTTAGACAATCACTCCCAAGTTACAATGATCGAATCACTTGTTCAATAATTACAAGTGATTTCTAGAAGTCTAGCAGAGATGAGGAATTGGGGGTGGAAGAAGAGAAGATCTATCATAAAAGGGAGGAAGATGCACCCACATTTTGAGTGTTTGGAGGGAAGCAACAGCAACGTTTTACTTTTAAATAATACTTAGATCGATGCTAAGCACTAAAACATATAGTTCAAATCACACCAATTCACTATACAATTCACATCAAACTAAGCATTCAAAATTTTGTGTTTATTTTTTCTAGTCGATTTTTTGTAACATAATTCTAAAGCAACAGATTTTGTAGAACATTTGCTCTCTTGCCTGCATTTTGAACGACAACAAGTGAATAGTTCATAACTGAACGTTAAAAGAAAACATGAAAATTCAAACTGAGAAAAGCCACTATTAATTACAAACACACCACAAATATGCAGATTTAAAACCTAAAACCCAACAAAAAAAAAAAAAATGAAAAATAAGCATTAATTTAGACTTCATTACCATTTGCAATTCCTCATCTTGAAAGGTAGGACATAGGAGAAAAGAGTCTTTTGGAGAAAACATCCCCATGTAACTAGGCGAAGCCAGGCCATCAATGGACCTATAATTGGGCATTATGAACCCTTCACTATCATCATATGATATGTTAGCATCATAGAATGACATTTTACCAACTTCCCAAACCATGAATTTTTCTTCGGGGAGTTTTTCCGGGATCCATTTATTTTGTCACATAAGTACTCCTTCACCACTTGCAATCCTTGCTCAAAAAGTTCGAGCGGGGGTGACACCAGCGGATTCCCTTCGATGCTGAGTTTCTGGAGTTTCTTAAGGCAACCGATCGACTCTGGCAAAATGGTAATTTTGTTGTAGCTAACGTCCAATTCAACAAGAGAGATAAGGAGGCCTAGGGAGTATGGTAGAGTTGAAAGGTACTGGAAATTTTGGCTAATATTTAGGACTTGGAGGTTGATTAGGTTTTTGAGGTCTTCGGGGAGCGACCGGAGGCAATTTAGGCGGGCGTCTAATACTCGAAGATTGGTTAGGTGGGAGGTGGAGGAAGGGAGGAATACAAGCTTGTTTGAGTTTACAGAAAGCTTTTTGAGGTTGAGAAGTTCAAATCCAATTGTGTCTGGCAGTTTTGTTAACTGGTTGAAGTTTGCATTCAACTCTTCCAATGATCAGCATATTACACTACTAACTGTTAGTTCATGCAAGATCGACAAGTTGCACCATGAAAATTACATATAGAACATAATAATGAATATGCATATTTGGTATGCTGAATTGAATAAGATTAACACAATAAGAAGAGAGTCATATTGAAGACAACGATAGTTTGACTTTTGTTTGTTTCGATCGACAAGCATTTGAGAATCAAGATAAGATCACAAAAAAACATGATGATATGACTTAATTTAGTATTATATAGTAAATAATGGCGAAACAAAAGTCCAGGTGAACGAAATATTGCAGAAATAAAAGCAACAGTGACATGACGGGATACGCATATTGAGTCCAAAAGTTAAATTATATTTGTTGAATTGATATTCCATGTCACTATTGCTTAGTAGATAATTTCTCAATACAGTGACAAATGAGAGGGAAAAAGAGGCATGACAAACCTACAGTTTTCGATGGTCCTAGGAAGATATCGAAGAAGATTGCAGATACATTCAAAACCTTGAGTTTCGACAAACAACCTATTGAATTTGGGAGGGTTTTGAGCTGATTTGAGTGCACGTCCAACACGACCACATTCAGAAGCCTTGCTATTAAAGACTCCTGTATAATCAGTCAAATGAAGAAGAGGAAAAATAAAAAAAGAAACTAATGCAGGGAAGCACGCCTGCATCATTGATACATATAATATAGTATAGTCCAAACCGTCCAGTAAATCGTCAAGTCCCAATATACCCAAAAGTAGATTGATAAAAGGTTTTAGAATAATATCACAACACAAATTACATAATTACGAAACGAATATATTGATTATAATCATGCCATATTAACTTCAATAATTCTATCAAATGTATGTGTTGACGTCAAATAATCCACACACAGACACACAGACACACAAATTTTTAAAAGTATTAATGTTATAGGAGACTCTCACCTATGAGCAGGGCGGACACGAACATTTTGAGTTAGAGAACACAATTAAACCTTGTACAAATCAAATACTTTGTTCTTAATTTTTGAATGATTCATGCTTCACTCGAAAAAATGCAGATCTACATTTAAAAAATATTTTTTCATTAATATTTTACTCATCATTTTCATCTATTTGATTTCAAACAGACATTTTATTAATATTTTGCTCATTACAAGAAAATACATATTTACATTTCAAAATTTTATAATATATTTGATACAAATAATCAATTTAAGTAATTGAAAGGAAAAACATATAA